TTTTAATGCATCATCAATTAAATTTATAAATAAATATTTTCTTTCAATAAAAAAATAAATACATTAAAAAAAGCCTTTATTTCATCTGCAGGCAACTACTTTGCATTGACTTGTGCCGGAATTCTAGGTTTGGAGAATACCTTTATCTATAGTAACAGCTTTAAAATGAACATTTATCAAACTAGACATAAATTACTTTTTAAAATTTTGTTAAAGGGTAACTCCATTTTTGTGAGGAAAAAAATACAGTAAATAAATAAAAAAAATAATAGCATATACAATTCCTGTAGAAGCCATATTGTAATTTCATGTTACTAAAAAATTACCTTTCTTTTTCAATCTGCAGGGCTGTAATTTTCTGTAAAATTCAATGCAAAATGACAACCTGGAGGCGTTCTTTACACAGCTAGTGTAAAGAACGCCCCCAGAAATGTCATTTCCTGCTTGTGTGAAGAACTCTGCAATAAGATAAAAGCTGAAGTGCACCACAATGTATGCTATAATGAATGGCATTGCAACAACGCAGGCTACTATGTGTTGATAACACGTTACTGCAGAGCGAAAGTGTGAACGGGGACATTGGGGGGCACAGGTGCGAGAGCTAAAGTGGTTAAAGAATATATGTGCATGTGCATTGTTCTCCCAAATAGAATATAGAGACATTTTTATTGGAACAAACAACTAGTATAGTGGTTTTGCAAACCATTCATTTGGGTTAAAAACTATAAAATCTAAACCTATATATCCTGAAAAAAAAAAAAAAAAAATATTACCTAGAACAAATGAAAGCATTATAATTTTTCATTAAACCAGAGCAGTAAAAATGTGGAACTCTCTCCCCCAGGAAGGGGTACTAGCTAAGCTTGTCAACTTTTACATGACTTCGTCAGGAAGAATATATGGCAAATGTTAGACTAGATCAGAGTTTCTCAACTAGGGTTCCTCCAGAGGTTGCTAGAGGTTCCTTGAGCAATGTCGGTCTCTTAGACAAGTCCCCACTGACACCATTGATCTTTTTAGCCATCTGTAAGGGGGTAATTCTTCCCTATGAGCACAAGTGTGAGGAGCATTCTTCCAACAGCCATCACAATAATGTATCACTAGTTGTAGATATAGTAACTTTTAGCAGGGTTCCCCGATACTGGAACATTAATTTTAAGGGTTCCTCTGTGTTGAAAAGGCTGAGGAAAGCGTGACTAGATTATAAAAATCACATACAAACACACACGTTAAAACTGCATGAACCTGTGCCTTTTTTCAACCTTTTAATCTACATAGTTAAGTAATGCAGAACTAAAACCTAAAGGGGCAGCACAGTAGCTAAATGGTTAGCACTTCCACCTGGCAGTATTCGGGTCGCTGGTTCGAATCCCAACCACAGCACCACCTGCCTGGAGTTTGCAAGTTCTCCCTGTGCCTGCGTGGGTTTCTTCCGGGTACTCCGGTTTCCCCCTACACTCCAAAGACATGCTGGTAGGTAAATTAGACCCTGTCTAAATTGGCCCTAGTATGTGTATGTATGAATGTGAGTTAGGGACCTTAGATTGTACGCCCCTTGCGGGTTAGGGACTGATGTGAATGTACAATATGTATGTAAAGCGCCGCGTAAATGGACGACGCTATATAAGTACCTGAAATAAACATATATACTGTACATCAATAGGGAAGTTTCTCAACGACTTTATAGGGGTGTATACTTGTGAGCTACTATGGTAAACAAAAAAGTGCTTTCAATTAATTATTTTAAATATAATGGTGCATCAACACATAAAACACATACTCAAAATACTGTGTAGAAATAAACAAATAAAATATTTGTTACGACACATATAATATTTTATAAGTTTCTCAACGACAATGCAAAGCAAATAAGCAGAAAAATCAAACATTGTAAAAATAAATTACAAAAATCTATTTTCAGTACTCCCTAGTTAGAAGCCTTGGAAGCCCAAAGTCTTCCAAATACATTTTGGGATATTGTTGTCTACTCCCTAATATGTCCAACTCTTTTTAGCTTTCATGAAAAATCAACTCTGTTCCTCAATCTCTAGTCTAGTTTCTTTCTCAAATCCCACATTCAGTTACTATGTAATATCATTGTAAACAAAACCCTTCCTCTTCCTCAACAAATTGAGCCACATTCTCATTTTTTTTGTGTCTCACATGCTCCCCTTCCCAGATACTGCAGCTCACAGTGAGAGGCATTCATCAACAGCAGCATGCTGTTGCTCCAGAAAGCAGTGGGCAGGACTAGGTGTGGCCAAGTGCTGATTGACAAGCTGCAAGCTTGTGACGTAACAATGCAAGGGTGATAGCCAAGCCCCCTGTTCCACCATTTATACTATTGCAGTGGAAACATGGAGTGGCAACTCTACTTTGAATTGAGAAGCAATGTAGTATAGCATCATAGAAATGCATTTGGTGGACTTCAATAGCAGGATCACCAGGTATTTGTGGTGTGTTGAGAAAACTTCCGCCTTCCACGGCCAGTGCATGCTCCGAAACGCGTCGCAGTGCACCCTGGGATCTGACGTCATCACGGCCACGCCGCCGCTACGTTCCAGCGTGCGTTCCATCCGGCTTTGAGGGAGGACGTGCATGAAGGCTGGCCTCACCACTGTTCCCCCTCCAGCCACCACGCTGTTCCAGCCGAGAGCTGACCTCCCCACATCGCAGAGAGATGACGGCTCTTCACCCGGGTTACCACCCCACCGTTAACTATTGTTAACCACGGTTTTTATGCTTATGATTACTTCACACATGTGAGTGTTTCTACATTTAGACTTGAATTAAAAGACTTATTGCACTTAGAGGCGCTTCTCTCCTTTTTCTCATCTACAGAAGTTGCTACAGCTTATTTGGAAGCCTTGCCCTCAGTGCCACACGGAATCCTACGCTCTTCATACAGTAGCCACTAATACCACCATCACCCATACTACCATTTCCCAGGACTTTGCAGTGTTTGCGCTGTTACAACCCTTCCTCATTTTTTCTGAATCTATTTGTGGTGTGTTGCAGGGGGGGAGGGCTAACAAACATAATACAATTAGGTGCTGTGGTTCTAAAGATGAAGATGTACTCTTTCTGGCCCTAATTCTCTTGGGGACCACAGGAGTGCACTTCGCTGGCTGACATCTCTCTGGATTCGGAGTCAACAATAAACATTGGCCCATGTGGATAAGCGTTTGGCCATGTGGATGAAAAAACCAAAACAAAGAAATGACCAAAGGATGAACAAAGGAGAGTATTTTATTACCACCTGTATAGGATAAGGTCATCATGAAAGTGAAAAGTTTATCTAATCAGACAAGCAAGTCTCCAGGAGCAGAAAATTCAACCAAAGAACTTGACATAGGCAACAGCCAAGCGTGAAAACTGGGGTAATACTAAAGGTGAAGAGAAAGAGGGAGCCTTGGCTGTGCACCAAGTAAAAGCACGATAGGAAATATACATTCCGTTAGAAAGATGAACAGGTAAAAGATACCAGAGGTGGAAAAAAAAACCTAAAAGATGAACAGCAACGTAAACAAAAGCATAAAGGTGTTAAAATATGTTTACCATCTATCCCAATGGTCATATCGTTAGACCAGGCCAGTGAACTATTAACCAGAATTCTGTGACATTAATATGTTCGATTATAAAAGTAAAAAATAAATAAATACATAAATAAAAAAATGAGACCCTGTCATCAGAGGCTTTGAATATCTTTTTATATCCTTTTCCATCTTTATAAAGTTCCATTACATTCTTGTTACGCATGTCTTTTTACAGTTCTTTTCTGCTCCCAATGGCTCAGTATCTAGCCTGCTTAGTGCAAAGTCATTGACTATTTATACACAGACACTAATAGCAATTTTAAAAAAACCACAGATGTGGGAAATTCACCTTTAATTGCCATTTTAACCTGTATGTGTCACCTTGTGTGTCTGTACCAAGGCCAAACATTTCAGGGTATGTAAATTTTTGATCAGGGCCATTTGGGTGATGTTGAGTAATTTGGGTTTCTGTTATCTTTAAGATTTAAAAAAGAAGCCAAACAACTATGTGATAATAAATGGCTTCAAATGATCACAATCCTTAAAGCGGAGCTCCACCCAAAAAGGGGAAGTTCCGCTTTAAGGAATGGTCCCCCGCTCCCCATTAAGGATGTGCACCTTTGGGAAGCGAGGGGGGGGGGGGGGGGGGGGGGGGGGGGGGGAGTGAATTCATTAAATTGACAGGTAACCGCTCCCACTGTGATCAGATGCAGAAGTTGTCCTCGTTGTCTTCTGGCACACGTAACAAGTCCCAGAAGACTACAGGACAATTCAGAAAGCACCGCGCTAATCGCGCATGCGCAGTGGGCAGCCAGCTGTTAAGCCGCAAGCTGTCACAGCCAGGTGCTCACACTGAAGATGCTGGCATGGCACCAGGAACACAGGACGCTGGGGTAGGGGGCTGCAGGGAGGACACTACAGGATTGAGGGACAGATGAATGTCTGTTTTTAAAAATCAGCAGCTACAGTTTTTCTAGCTGCCGACTTATTTTTTTTACAGTTTCACTGGAACTCCGCTTTAAACATAGCCATTTAAAAATCTATTTTTTTTTCTTTCATTTTTCCTTCTACATTGTGAATACGTTTGTATATATTTTTTCGAGACTTGGGAAACGCGCTCTATTTATTCATTTCCTACTTCAATCAGGAGTCATTATATACCATCTCTGTTGGAAGACTCTAAGCTTAATAATGATTTATTTCACCACCATTGCTGAGCGCCGCTTAATTATTTTTCTGTTTCTCTTGATTTCCATAGATGTTTTCAGATTTATGTCAGTTACAGCTGTATAGTTGGGTTTATCTTTTTATATCTGGGCGAGCATAGTACATTGCATGTATTTTTCACTCCATAAGACGTACCTGACCATAAGACGCGCCTAGGTTTTAGAGGAGGAAAACAAGAAAAAAAATATTCTGAACCAATGGACTGCAGACATAGTACACGAGGCTGCGGACACAGTACACGAGATGACCAGAGACTGCGGACACAGCACACGAGATGAGCAGAGACTGAGGACACAGCACACGAGATGAGCAGAGACTGAGGACACAGCACACGAGATGACCAGAGACTGAGGACACAGCACACGAGATGACCAGAGACTGCGGACACAGTACACGAGATGACCAGAGACTGCGGACACAGTACACGAGATGACCAGAGACTGCGGACACAGTACACGAGATGACCAGAGTCTGCGGACACAGTACACGAGATGACCAGAGACTGCGGACACAGTACACGAGATGACCAGAGACTGCGGACACAGTACACGAGATGACCAGAGACCGCGGACACAGTACAGGAGATGACCAGAGACTGCGGACACAGTACAGGAGATGACCAGAGACTGCGGACACAGTACAGGAGATGACCAGAGACTGCGGACACAGTACAGGAGATGACCAGAGACTGCGGACACAGTACAGGAGATGACCAGAGACTGCGGACACAGTACAGGAGATGACCAGAGACTGCGGACACAGTACAGGAGATGACCAGAGACTGCGGACATAGTACAGGAGATGACCAGAGACTGCAGATGTACAAGAAATGACCAGAGACCGCAGACCTTTGGGGAGTCAGGAAGGGTAGATAGCGGGTACCCGAATTTGACAGGTACCCACTCACACTTCTGCTGTGATCGCCTCTCTCCCTGTACTCCTCTGGGACACGTGACAGGTCCCAGAAGACTACGGGGACATTCACAAACTGCAGAGCTTCTCACGCATGCGCAGTGGACACCCGGCTGTGAAGACGCAAGCTGTCACAGCCGGGTGCCCACATTGAAGATGATGAGGACACCGCTGGACCAAGGAACAGGTAGGACCGAGGAGCAGGTTCTGCTGCAGAGAATAGCTGAGCGGCTTGCCTGGTATTCTAACACGGTGGCGATGGTCCATAAGACTTTTTTTTTGGGGGGGGGGGAAGTGCATCTTATGGAGCAATAAATACGGTAGTTTTTGTAGGCCACTTTCTTCTCATTGTAGTTCAGTGTGAGTCCTGTTGTATGCCCCCCCCCCCCCCCACACCTGCACGTGGGGGTATAACCATTTTTTGCATCTCGGGATGACCTATTCACCCATTCCACCCAGTCTGATGCAATGTTATTACGTGATGTTTTTGGAGCCACTACCATCTTCATACAGACTGATTGTATTAATGTAGAACTATAGGCAAAACTTTTATTTCCATTTTGGATAGAGTAAAGGAGGGTTATAACCCCTGTCAGATTTTCTTTTTTCGCCATCTGTGTCCCATTGCAGAGATTTCCCTTTACTTCCTGTCTCACAGTAAAACAGGAAGTGAGAGGAAATACCTGTGAATTAAGACAATCCCTTGGGGACCCACAGGCTACAAGAACTAGTGTCCTTTGTAGACGTTATAACTTTCACGTAAACCAATTAATTTACACGTATTGGGATTTTTTTTTTTAGCAAAGACATGTAATAATACATGTTGGCATAAATTTGATTTTTTAAATTTTTTTACTGGACATGTTTAATAGCAAAAAGTCAAAAATATTGTTTTTTTCCTCAGAATTGGCACTTTTTTTGTTTATAGCGCAAAAATTAAAAAAAAAACAAAACACACACAGGCGATCAAATACCACCAAAAGAAAGCTCCATTTGTAGGGAGAAATAAAGGACGTAAATTTCATTTGGGTGCAGTGTGGCATGACCGTGTAATTGTCAGTTAAAATAATGCTGCACCGTATCGTAAAAAATGTCATGGTCAAAAATGGAGGGGGGGGGGGGGGGGGGTAAATCCTTTGGAGGGCAAGTGGTTAAGTTCTATCACAGATCAAAATAATTATGTATATATTGTAAATGTTATAGGTTTAGATTTGTTTACTTTGTATGTTTTATCTACAGTTAGCAGCTTTAATCCCCCTGAGGAAACAGGTATAATATCCTGCGAAACATGTTGAGGAAACTACTTACTGTTGAAATAAATCTGATTAAAGCCAATGCTTTAAAGACTAACATAATGTAGGATTATTGTATGTGAATTATTGATGCTCCTGTGATGAGCTTTTAGATTTGTACTATTTTTATAGTTGTGTACTAATAAAGATTATTAGGGAGATATTTTACCTCTTAATTTTTTTTTATACTAGTGTTTTCTGCGCTACTTCTTTGGGTAGCTCAAAAATTCCAGGGGTACAGTTTCCCGTTTTCCACATATTTTGAGTATTTTTGGATGTGGAGCCCCATCTATTGTTCCAGGGTTAGAACCACCAAAGGTTTATCTGTGACTTACGTCTGATTCTTTGCCTATGTATTGCTATGTATCTTTTTGTTTGCTATATGTGTATTACCTCCTATTGTATTTCCGACTGATACCTTGTATTACCTGTACCTATTGTATGCTCTGAGTGTATTAATAAACTTTATGGGGAAAAAAAAAAACCAAAAGAAAACCCCCCAAAAAAAAAAAACAAAAAAAAAAAAACCCCCAAAAAAACAGTTTTTTTGCATGATCAGTCATATTTTCAATATCAATGCCAAAATTTCATGATTTCTGCCAGGGTATGCAAACTTTTTAGCACAACTGTACATATAACTCAATATCTTCAAATTTTTTCAAAAGCATGCCTACATATGTATCGGACACCTACTCAGACAGATAACCAGCCCAAATTTAGAAAAGAGTCATATGCCTCTCTTCACAAACATCAGAAATTAAAAGATGTTATTATAAGCAAATGGAGATAATAGTAGAACTAAGTAAAAACAGATAATATATTGAGGTATATAATAAGGCTCCATGCACACGGGGTGTTTTAATAACACCGGTAACATTAGCTGTGTAAAGTCATGTTAAAAATGTGAGTTGTTCAGCGGTTTTTAGCATTCTTATATTAGCATTTTTTTTCACTCAAAAAAAGTCCAAAAATGCTGGTTTGGGGCGTTTTTTACCACGTTAGAACGTTTTTACATCTAAAAAAACTCCTCTAGAAACCCGCTGGTTCTGGGGTTTTTTTCCAGCCAAAAAACAGCCCTGCCAAAAACCGTTGATTGCGCATGAGGTCTAGTAATAATAATAATAATAATAATTGAGTTGGGAGTTTTTCCGCTCTACTCAATCTGTAGGATATATAGTAGAGGTTTTTTGGAGACTCCTTGTGGCTTCTTTGTGGCTTTCTGGGGTCAGGGATTGTGGAATGAGTCATATATACACTGCTCAAAAAAAAATTAAAGGAACACTTTTTAATCAAAGTATAGTATCAAGTCAATTAAACTCCTGGGATATTGATCTGGTCAGTTAACGGCTTTTCGACCACCCTATAGCAGATATACTGCTACAGGGCAGCAGGGATGTGCAAAATGACGTACTGTATATATATACACTTGATTTTGTATTTTTGGGTAGGGGTTGCGCACTATTCACTGCCTCGGCCATCAATCAGTGTACTTTCAGTGAAGCCCACATACATGCCCTCTATGTAAAACACCCCCTGCACACAATTAACCCTTTTATTGCCCCATGTTAACCCCTTCCTTCCTAGTGCCATTAGTACAGTGTCAGTGCTTTTTTTTTTTTTAGCACTCATCACTGTATTGGTGTCACTGGGGATGTCAGTGACACCAAGTCAGTTCTTCCCAGTGTCAAAATGCCTGCCGCAGTCCCGCAATAAGTCTCTGATTGCTGCCATTACTAGTAAAAAAAAAAAAATTACAATATCTATACCGCCATTTGTAAACGCTATAACTTTCACGTAAACCGTATTGGAATTGTTTTTAGTAAAGACATACATTTTTGACTAAATTTATGACGAAATTAGATTTTTTACATTTCGTTACTGAACATGTTTAATATCAAATAGCCAAAAATATTGTGTTTTTTTTTCTCAAAATTGTCAGTCTTTTTTTTTTTTTGAATAGCGCAAAAAAATAAAAACAAACGGCCAGCTAAATAAATGGGAGTGTCCTCCTGCGCTTTATATGGATATGATCCCTATAATTGAAGCTGCTGTCACTCGACTTAAACCAATAAGTAATAAATATGCATACATAAATTAGTGAAGCGCTAAAAATAACTAATATATTCATACTAATAGTGCCATTTATAACTGCATAATAGTGCTCTGTGATAGATGCCCCGTAAACATAAGTATGTCCTTATGGTGAAAATAATACACAAACTTAAAGTGAATATGAAAAGAGTGATAACAACTACACCATGTGTATAAGCAATAATATTCAATCTGAACGATTATTCAATGAATTACCATACAGCTGTGAATCATCCGTGAATAATCAATGTATAAACAAGTCCATGCAGGTGAAAAACTGTGTAAAAAGGTGATCTTCACTTCTAGTGCATAAATCCTCAAATGGCAGCAGTGCCGGCTCACCTCCACACACTGACCCACACAGGGCCAAAAGGCTATTAATCTCCTCTATACCAGATCCTCATGAATATGCTGCTCATCCAGGGACCACAAGGTAAATGGAGATTCCTCCCCCAGCATATCTAGTCCACTCCACCTCCACTCAGTAGTATATAGGTAAGACACAAAAAAATCCTTCCATAGTGCAACAATGTTTAATGTAGAAATGAATACAAAACAAGGATTGCACTCACATGTATTCCCCTAGTACAGTGGTGGGCAACCTTTTTTTTTCAACTGAGCCAAATCTCGCCAAAACCACGATTGAAATTTATTTTGAGAGCCACATTTTTAAAACTGAAAATACATCCCCCATATAGTAATTCATCCCCCATAGTAATTCATCCCCCATATAGTAATTCATCCCCCATAGTAATTCATCCCCCATAGTAATTCATCCCCCATATAGTAATTCATCCCCCATATAGTAATTCATCCCCCATATAGTAATTCATCCCCCATATAGTAATCATCATCCCCCATAGTAATTCATCCCCCATATAGTAATTCATCCCCCATAGTAATTCATCCCCCATATAGTAATTCATCCCCCATAGTAATTAATCCCCCATATAATAATTCATCCCCCATAGTAATTTATCCCCCATATAGTAATTCATCCCCCATATAGTAATTAATCCCCCATATAGTAATTCATCCCCCATATAGTAATTCATCCCCCATAGTAATTAATCCCCCATATAGTAATTCATCCCCCATAGTAATTCATCCCCCATATAGTAATTCATCCCCCATAGTAATTCATCCCCCATATAGTAATTCATCCCCCATAGTAATTAATCCCCCATATAGTAATTCATCCCCCATATAGTAATTCATCCCCCATAGTAATTCATCCCCCATAGTAATTCATCCCCCATAGTAATTCATCCCCCATATAGTAATTCATCCCCCCTATAGTAATTCATCCCCCCTATAGTAATTCATTCCCCATATTGTGTCAATTCACTTACCTTTGCTCCGCGCGTTCCTCTCGCCGTGTTCCCGCGCCGTTCCGGTCTTCAGGGCGGACTGTGAGAGGAGAGGAGTTCGTCACGCTGCCCCGCCTACATCCTGACAGCCAATGTTTGCCACTCTCTGCGGGCCGGATTAAAAGGTCCGCCGGGCCGTAGTTTGCCCATTGCTGGGCTAGCTGCAGAGTCCTGACTTTTGGGGCGGCCGCCCGAGAGGAGGGAGGGGAGCGGGCGCCCGGCACACAGAAGAGCCGCATTGAAGTGTGTAAAGAGCCGCATGTGGCTCGCGAGCCGCGGCTTGCCGACCACTGCCCTAGTACATCAGCCTGTCACCCCATCCCATGGGTGTACTGCATGAAGCCTGGGGAAACCAATATGGCTGCTGCGTCC